GTCGAGTGCAGATATCATCATGCTCTTTGCCGTCCATGCCATGCCCACCACTCTTCAATTAGATCATTCTGAAGTTCTTTGTGCGTTGCGGGACGCCGAATGGCATGATAGGAGGCAACAAAACGGGCTACCCTTTCAGCCCTCCGCCGCACTTGCACGGGATGTCCCAAGAGCTCATACTGTGAGTAGTCTAAATCTTGGCCACGCTCATTCTCGATGATCATGTTGTGCATGATCACACAAGCGTGCATGATGTACCAAAGCATTTTTTGATCCCAAAATCTTGCCGGTCCTCTCACAATAGCAAATTGGGCTTGCAAAATTCCAAATGCTCTCTCCACATCTTTTCTAGCCGCCGCCTGAGCGATACATACCTTGTAGGCGTTTTGTCAAACACCTTGCGGGCGCGGCGCGACAGCGAGCGCTCGGGCGCTGTTCCTTGGACGACGGAGGCGCGCGGGCGCCGGCGGTACTAGGAGGGGATGGGCGGAAGCGCGGGGCGCGCGGGGATAGGCCGGGGAAGCCTGAGACGGTCGGCGGGGTGCGCGGGCCGCGGCGGCGGCGCGGCCGGTCGGGGGTGGAAGCGCGAGAGGAAGAGCGGGCGCGAGCGCTCGAGTGTGCCGCGCGCTGTAGTGGGCGCCCGAAGTACGCCGCGCGGGTAAGTGTTTTTGACCGCGCGCCCAACCCGTTTTAGCGCGCGCGCCGTTTTTGCGCACCCGCTGGAGCGCCCTGATGCGTTGCGCGCGCGCTAAAACGATCTATTTTGCGGCGCGGTGCTAGTTTAGCGCGGCTGTTGGAGATGCTCTAACGACCCTTCGCCACCTTCGTTCAGAGTTTTTGATTGATTCAGAAGACCCAGATGGATGGAGAATCACGCTCACCAGTGACTCATCTGAATCAGAGGCTCTCCAGGCTGCATGTGACACCACGCTGTCAAGCGAGGCAGGATTATTGCGCGAGCTCCTTGGTGGTCGTGGTTAATTAAGTACAAATGGGGCACATCCACGTTGTCATGAGCGATCCAAGTAGTTGGCATTTCACTTTCGCCTCACATCACTGGGTTGATTTTGCTCTGGTCGTCTCCCTCCGCGTGCATGATGTTTTACCTACCCCTCCTTTACGTTATCGCATTTTTTGTGAGGGCCTCCGAAGAAATTAGCGCAAACTTTTTGGCCTTGCCACTAAAATCCGTGAGCTTGTTTCGGAGTAATCTGTCAATTTGAACGGTCTAGAATTAACAAGCCCCCACTCTTTTCTGGAAAGCCATTAGCCCCACTTTAGGGGATGCCCTGGTTTGTTTAGTCGTAGACACCAGTAAAAGATAAAATCATGGGAATAGCCTAGCCTCCGAGCATCTTCTACTGAAACGAATAATCAACTGCTTTTTAGGTACCGTTCTGCTCCCAAAGTTGTATGCTGCTCCTAGATTTCTTGGTTGCTTCATCTAGAAGAAGAAGAAAACAGCGAGTTAGTGACATAACATACATGATGTCACACGCAACTCTAACTTCAAACAGTCTATGAGTATAGCTGCGGTTCTAATCCAATGCATATTAGCAACGGATGCATTTGCACGACACATAAGTAAGCAGGCAAAACTCATGTACTACTTATATTTAGCAGGGGAACATGGAAATGCCATTGATATATCGTATCATATCAGCAAGGGCTAAAGAGACTTTGCCAAGCCAATTATTGGTCTGTATAGTATACTGAAGGGGAAACACAAAGCAAAACCTCATGAGCCGATGGGTTGGGAGTTGGGACCAGTGGAGGAAACACAATTATTGGGACTTTTCTTCTAATCCACCCATCAACGCATGATTTTGTTGTTGCGTCCAGTTTGTTATTAGGGGTACGTAGCCCTACCATATGCACCACCTCCACCCCACTTGGGCGCAACAAACGTTTTCTTGTGTCCAAATCACATGCACACCGTCTAAACTGACTTTTACCCATCCAGGGTTTATTCTCGCCTGGAGTTAAAATAAGGCCTAAAAGATAGGGAGCAGTTGACGCGAGACAGCTGGAATATCTTTCCTGGCCACCATATTTTTTTTTGTTCTCATCTGTAGTACCAAGTGTGCGATTAAATTTGTTACTAACATTGCTCAATTTTTTTTTCGTTACTAACTGAGTGCGTCTCAATACAGCAATCACCGGAGTTGAGTAGGCCTTCACCTTGCATTCGGTACGGAGACCCGTAGAGGTGTATTCTTCTAGAACAAGCTGTTTTTTTTTATAAACTCTATAGCAAGCTGTTTTGCAGCACTGAAAACCTGCAGCGAATCCCAACAAATTGCCTTACTCAAAAAATAAAATAAAAACCCAACAACCTGCTCTCTTTTCCTTTTTCTTTGTTCTTTAATTTTATACCGAGAAAATTACTCCTACTACTAGTAGTACTGATACTTTTTTATACTAATCCAGTACAGAGCCAAAGTGCAAAAAAAGAGAGTAAAACATTTCGGAAACAATTTCTCTATTCCGAAGTGCCATTTTATCCTATTTTGGTTACAGTGCATGGAGGGTGGTCATTGGTCATGGTCCGTGCATGTCGAACTTGACCGCAGTCTTTTTTTCCCGAGCGCAGCACGCCATCTGCATGCCAGATTAACAAAGAGTCAGGCTCGGCATACGGCCGGAAAGGCGGCCCCGCTGGGACGGGATCGATCGGTCGTGGTCGGTTGCTTTGCTTGGTAGTAGGATGGATCCTCAAAGTAGTACAGCCAAGGCAACTATCACGTGGACTGCTCCTGCATGTGCGACGTTGCTCCTCTCCCGCACCCTCCATCCATCCTTTTTTTTTTTGCGGGATCCATCCATCCTTTTTGACGCGACACGAATTGAAGTTAATTAATCGACAAAAAGAAAGCTGGCTACGTGCACGTTGCATCACGTCGTGCGGCGCACCATGGTTAACGCTCCCATTGGGCGGGCGGCCTGTTGCTCTTGGTGGAAAAACAAAAGCAAAGAGCAAAAAAATAAAAAAAAATCAGGGCAACGGCACCTGTGATCTCTGGTTTGAATCGAATCGTAAATGAAGCACATTATTACTGTAGTACGCAGCAGCAAATTGCAATGAATTAGCACTAGGCCACGCACCAGACGGGTGGACTGCGCATTCAATGAGGCCTGTAATTATTTGAGATTCGTTCACAGGGGAGGAGCCGTCCTCGCTGGAGGGTACCACCCCCGTATATACAACGGTTTAACCTCTCTCTAATCTGGCCATTATGTGGCGTTTCTCCGGATGCCACCCTCAGCTTGCCTCAAATTACTCTAGTGCTAGTACCAATCGCCTACCCACTGGGTCTGGACACCACCATTAGCATGCTCCTCGCCAGCGCTAGGAGACACGCATGCACAGTGACGCAGAAGGAGCCAGATCGGCTCTCCTCTCACGCGATTTCTTTTCTTCCAGAGCAAACCTTTTTTTTTTGCTGAATCTCCTTTACATTAGATTTTTTTTGAGGGTAATGCTTTGCATTGGATTAGATTAGTGTATACATAATCGGAACGGCCGAACGGAATTAAAAGCGGTTAGTGTGCGGAGATTCGCACTGATCCTCCATTTTTTACTGACCCACTAGTATTATTTATTTATTTACTTGGAGCCCCTTCTCTTTGGCGATATATACAATTGATCTCCCTGTAGCCGCCCCGCTAGTAGTCTAGGAGCAGTCGCTTCTCCTGCCGTCTCATCGTTTTCTACTACCTGCTCTCTCGCCAAATGTTGCCACCCAACTAACAAAACAAAAGCCTGCACTTCCGTCCGCCTCCGGCCCCGGCCGCTTCCTTCCTTCCCATCTCTGCCGCCACCACCAAAACCCGCACGCTTCCAAGCGCACGCTCGATCGCAAAGCC